AAAAACATAATCGTCGTAGGTCACACAGACGAGGTAAAATTCAAATGTGTTTGAGCAAATACATAAGTTAATTTTCAGCAGTTATTTGAGCTATGTTATGAGGTTAAGGCGTGCCACTGAATCACTAAGCTCAGTGGTGTAGAAATGAAATTAAAAACGACTGGTTTTCCTATTTTTAAAACTAGACTTGTTGGAAGTTATTAGGTAAAGCATATGCGCATTTTGATATGCCATTTAATCGGACCTACGGCTGGGTTCTTGTCACTCAAGTCCACCATCGGCTTCAATTGAAGACACAGCAATATGTTAGGAGAAAATATGCATCGCAGTATTGGAGGATGGAATCGCTCACCGTGCAAAATCAAAGGCAGTGATGAGCTTATCTGCAAAAACCAGACAAAGATTCACTACCAACTTTCTCTTTCTCTGTATGATTATGCAGGCAGTTTATGTAACACTTGCTAGGTGTGTCATAAGTTGATCGATTTGGGATGAATAGTGTATAACCTTGTGTCTAGGTGTAATTCTTCTCCGTGGCTTTCAGCTAAGCTATATGTAACGAGCCTTTGTCAGAGAAATTGGGGTATTAATACAACTCCAGAGCTGAACAAGTACAGCAGTCGCTTTCGACTGAATAGCTTCATGTATGTAAACGGTGGGAGTCTCCATCCGAGTGGAGGAAAAGAATAGCTCCTATACCTGTTGTACGTCTTGATACATCCAACTTAGCTAGGCACCAACAACTTTTGTCCAAAATTCTGGGCAACTTCTAGTAGTCTGGGTCACAGATTGTAGGTAAATGTCTTTCAGATGGCGATGCTTTAATGTTGAAGTAGCTTTGTGCTAGCAAAACCACATTTTCAAAACACTTGTCTACTCTTGTGCATGCATCAAATTTTAACCAGCGAGGAAGTAAAGTATTCCTGCTGTAGATTCGTATACACCTTGACTGTACCAGGGGGAAATGCTGAGTTACTTTCCAAGCACGGCACTTCTGAGCGTGTTCCACAGTATGGTTTTGCCAAATAAGTCACGAGTATCCTTGACCCAAGAAGCTAGTGATAGCTACCATGAAAACAGTTAACGCACGGCAGCTTTGTTATTCTGGATTAGAATGCTGCCTAGGTGAACTTTCTCTTCGTATTCATTCACATTTCTAAGGAGAAAAAGCATTACTACCAGCACCCTATATCAAAACTTACATGTGCTTTATCTCTTGGTAATTTCAACGGACGGCTTCCTAGAATATGCAACAATGCAGGGTCAACAGCCACTTGACAACTCTTTGTCTCATGAAAACGAAGTACTGGAGATAGTTCCTCTACTCACCTACCCTAGCAGCTGCGAAGCAGCGATGGGCGAGTGGCTGCCGAATCTACTTACCTTATTGCAAGTGCTAGAGCTGTTAGCTTGAACGTGCGACAATGACACAGTCAAAGAGGATTACGATGTCTGAAATGTATTAAGACCAAGGCCAGAATGAGAGTCCTTTAACTCTATGGAGGTTAGAATTGTACCATTTGGGCTTATTCTCCAACGCATCTTCAAGGTTTTGAGCATTTCTGTTAGTTGTTGCTTAACCGCAACGAATACGTACCTGAGCGATTACTAAGTGAGGATGGCCAGGCCAATTCATTGGAACAACGAACAACATGAAAACATTTGCTTTGGTTCGGATATCGAACACGTAAATCTAGTCTGCACTTATCTGGAAGGGTTTTGATTTGTTTGCTTGAGCTAGGAAGGTGTAAGGCACGGGGGAAGTAAATTTTGTATTAACAACGGGACATAAAAGTGTCAAACGCTAAAATGGCTACTGTTTGTCTGTCTCATCTATGAAGCTGGAGACCATGCGATCAACGTTGTGTTTGGCTTGGTACCTGATTTGATGCGGTTTGCAGTCTGCTTCAGTGAGGAATGTTACTCTCTACTAGTCGGATTCCCGCTTTAAAGGATGACTGAGGTTGAGTTATCTGTGGCACAAATTTGATTATAACGTCGCAGCAAGCAGCTGTTAGTGACCGCGTGTTGTTGATAAAATAAAGGTGCCTTGAACTAAGCTTTGCTGCCACGCCTTTCCGATTTCAGATTCGTTTTCCTTTTCTACCATTCCTATACTTTGTATTCCATAGGTCGTTTTGGTTTCATGGCAGTGAAACCACGAGTAAGATTACTGATTTTCTGTTGGTGTTATTGCTGCTGCTGATAATGACCGCGATCCCAGCTTGTTTTAGTCCAAAGACTATCAACTCGAGCGTCCACTGAAGCCGCGTATCCGTGCAATGACAATCTGCAAGTGTTCTTGATTTAATAGCTAGTGAGATGTGAGTTAGTATATATAGAAATATGCTTCTGCGAGGCTTTTGCCATGACATAAATTGTACCCACGTTCCCTTATTTCAAGGTATGGGTGGTGTCTGTCAGTAATAATTGTTGCTTGAGAGGATGAAGGATGTGGGTCAACTGAGCTAACGTGGTAACTGGAACTGACCCAGGACACAGATCGCTACTTTCAACTAGCGCATTTGCATCTGCTCGTTTTTCAAACCAGACTGGATAATTGGTTTTTAAACAGTGCATCAATGATTTATTAACAAGGAAGAAAGCATTAATTTTCACGACTATCATTTGATAAAGGAGGCTTGCTGTTGTCTTTATCAAGTTCATCATCAGATTTGGGACGCAGTTTGAATGACATACTTAGCTTCTAGTTAGGTGCCGGGTTGGTCAGCAGGCGGCACAACAACGTTAACTATTGAAAGAACCTTTCCTGCCGGGTTTAGCACGTAGTACGACAGATGACATGCACGCAGGTGACAGAGAGAAGAGCACTGGATACACCTTAGAGCGCCATGTATGTACATTCTTACACTTTTATTGACCAGCTTTGCACCGTAAACCCCCTGCTTTAAAGTATACGTAACAAAGCTCTTCGATGAACATTGTGAATTGTATGCTATTGCAAATGCCATCGGTGATACTCTTGGAATGAGCTGTACCTTGGTTACTCAAAGCTACAATAACCGCCACCATATAGTCTTCTACTGTCCCTAAAATGACGCACGCGTGCATCCCTCTTCTTAAGTGAACATGTGTGGATCGTAGATGGTGGTTGATCCCGCTTTACTTATGAAAGTAAATGTGTCCTTGTCTCGTAATGCGTGTGCCGAAAAGAAAAGAAGATGGGCCTGCTGGCTTGGGATATCTGTGGCACTGTTGACAATGTCTGGCTCGTAGTGTCATTTCTGGATCAGGATCTTCAGCTTTCTATGAACTTTGAAAATTGTACACAGGGACATGTATCTATCCTTCTGTTTCAGTTGCTGATATATCCTCACAAAATATCACCTAGAGGTTAGTCAACAGTTTATTCGATGCACTAAAGAACGTCGGAAGTCAGTTTCTGGCTGTTGTTGCCGCTATCATTGCTGCTGAACAGTGCTGACGTTTAGGCTGTAAGTATTAATGCTATTTCTTTCCGTGCTTTCTTTGACACGGGCGACTTCAGGGTGTCTGTCCGTAGTTTCGACGCAGCCGAACCCTAGTCTGGTAATGTTCTATTTATGCGTTAAAGACGTTTACTTGCAAAATTTCTGCCTTAAAGACGAGTCCACATTTCGTTCGTCGCTCACGTTCGTCAATTTGTGCAGCAGAGGTCAAGCTGAATCACAACAACCTGCAGTGTTCGGGAACTAGAATTTGCAATATCCATGGAGCTGCACAATTGAACACACAACATACATGATGGCCAATACGTTGACGAACGACAAATGGATCACTGCTCTTAATCCGGGTTAAATGACACTCACGAGTACTTCAATTTACGGACGTGGCAGGAGAAGGGCTTGCACTAGTGTCCGCTACTTGCACGATTCAAGTTATATTAGCATGGCAGCAATACGTATTGAACATCTTCCATTCGTCTTTCACCTATTTGCTATGCCATGCAAGAAAGTTGTTCAACAGAAGATGATGATGATGATAATTAACGACGACATCAACAGGGGCATGTCGTAAGGTAAGTGGGCGTCGGAATCGCAATGCAGCAGTATAGCACGAATTATGTCATCGATATGCGGAGAAGCTTCACCAAAGAAACATAGGGAGTTTATCCTCATCTGTTGACTGTATTTACAGTAATAAACTTCCTTACTGGTATTCAATCACCGCTATTCTGCTTACAAATAAACTGCCAGGCTTGAATTGGAAAAGGCGGTTTACTCTTGTCTGATGTTTTAACTCATTATAGTCGTATAATTTATGGTGTACCAGCCTGACAAGATCTACCGAAAACGAGCTTGTTCCCTGACTCTTGTTCTGATGTATACAACTGGGATATTTTCTCAATTAAAAACGCCTTCTTTTATTTGTAATGCATCCATTTGGAAATGAACGCCCCCAGTTCAAAGTGATATTGTCTAGTTTGCCAGCCGACTGTTCTGCAGTTTGCAGGTGAACCCCAAAAGCTTGTTAAAAGGTAAAACTGCAGGCGCATTTGTGTGGTAGCATCTAACAGCTAATTACCTTCCGATAGTTTTCGTTGCAGTTAGCGAGCAACTTTTTGGGCATTACAGCGGAATTTTAACGAATAATGTCTATGGTGTTGTTAATTATTTCGTTGTGAAAATGTTTACTTATTCATTCAACAGCTACAGTACAAGTTGGAAAAATAAACAATTGAAACCTCACCCATAATACCCGGAAAGATCAAGAGTTGTTATTTGCCCTAGTTCAAGATGCTGCGTTACTACAGTACACACGCGTATATATATATATATATATATATATATATACATATATATACATATATATATATATATAGAGAGAGAGAGAGTTTGGGGCATAGGCAAATACTGTGGAGCTTTTTAATTCCTGTCAACTGCACTGCTGTTACGAAGTTTTGCATGATGGTGCTTAACAGAATATAAGAAGTAGGTATAAATGTACATGACATGACGAATGATCATTATTGTATCTACTTTTGACTCACTAGCACTTACTTTAATAATTTGCCATAGTAATCCCAGGAGCAGGTGTTTTGTACCATCCAAAATGTCACTTGCTCCAATATTGACAACGTTGCAACCAATCGCACGAGCACTATTGAGAGCCAAAGTTATATTTTCATGCATTTGAAAAGTGGTTGGGTTTTTGCAAAGATTCAATGCCCGCGGGTCAATTGTGGCAGGAACTGAGCAATTGATGATCTTGCTAAAAAACCCACAAAGATGATAACAATATTTAAAAGGTGCTTACCAAAGTGTTCAGAACGTAAATTTAACTTCACGCAAGCAAAAAGTATAAAGTATGTTTGTCTTCGACCCTCTTTTATTACCCATGCGTGTAATCCTAGACGGTATAGAATCTCCGTAATCTAATAATGCATGTTTATTTGATCCAACTAGTTGCAACACATATGAAAAGCCATGCTATTACTTGTAAAAGAAGAAACTCATTATGTAAGATCAGGAAAAAGAAACGACGGCAGCAATGCTTCAACATTATTTCACCGAAACGAAAGTTGCGTCGACCAGTACGAAAACAACGGAAAAAGCTGAAGCGTTGCGCTGATAACGCTCTTAGGTCCCAAACTATAATTCAGAATTGAAAGCTTGATGGTAAAAATATTGCATGAAAACCAAAGTAGGAAAAATCTACGATCAAGTTTTGACGTTCTGTGAACGAAGCCGTGCCTCAAAGGACGTTAACTAGGTAGACAATGAGTAGCAAGCTCCTAATTAATCATCCTCGCATTTGAGACTCAGGATAGTCTGTGTAGATAATAAAACGTGATCGTGTAGTAAACACTTGAAAGTATGAGCACATAATAAAACACAAATACCTTAATTTCTGAATGCAATATGAAAGTTATCATTTGATTGTGCTCCAATTGTTGAACGAAAACAACCATGAGCTTATAAACACAAATATCGAAATTGCCAAACAATTCGCTCAAAGCGGTTGTTTGCTGCACCAACTGACTTCAAGAACATGGTTACCAGATAAGACAATACACCACTTCAAGGGGATCTGCACATAAAGCAAGTAGCCCATATGCCCAGCAATCCCAGCTACACGGTGGTCATATTAATAGGGACGAAAACTTTGACAGGCCACCGACACAGTAATTCCGAGTGAACAAACCTACCCATGAGATTATAATGAGCGATAATATTAAATCGCCTCTAGCAAAAAGTTGACAAACACACAACCTACTCAATGCTGTAGCTTTAACAGTAGGTACTGTTTTCTCGTGCATCATTCCAAAAACAACAATCGCGTAAACTGCGTGACATGGAGCTAAAACCAATTTATGAATTGCAGCTTTACTAGCACTAACATAAGAATTAAGCACTTCAGTTAGGTTTATAACAACATCTCTGATACCAAACTGTACTTACTGGGGCTTCCAGATCGCCACATCACTTGGAAGATTTACGGTAATGCTTGATAATCAATAGCAACTAAACATGCTCTACTATTACACAAAGATTATCAATCAACCCACCCGAGGAAGAGTGCACGATGTGAGAGCACCGCGTATAACATCAGAACCGTTTCTGTGCGCAACACAAGAAAAGCAACCTGCTATCTGCCAAGATCACCAAGGATTCTGTCATCTGTCTCATGGAACCAGAAATAACAACACCTTAAATGAAAGTATTGCGGCATTTTACAACATGCAATGAAAAATCCTAGGTACCTGCGCCCTCAATGGTATGCCACCACCGGCAGCGCAGCCTTCCTGCTTAGCGTACTCCTATCGACATTTGCCCTAAAAAGACGGTATTGTCGTTTTTTGCCTGGATAATTTTAAGGCCACTGGACCCTACTTATACATAGCTATGAAGAATCAAGCTATGACTCACAAAGTATGACGTTGTAAATTCTGAAGCTAGTGCAATGTAGTGCGCAGCAAAACCAAGCAGTCTGGTTGCAGAACATTACCTACACGCATACTGACATTGTTTTACCTAACCACTTTGCACCTTAGCTATTATTGATTTATGTTAAAGCTGTCATTTTAAATTTTAGCTCCGTATTGCTCGAAACGAAGTTCTTTACAGTATTGGTTTTTCCTAATTATCATCACGTTGTTTTATCCTTGAAACATGATACACATCAACTATACGTTTTAGGCCATTAGATGTTTTGAAAAAACCGTTTGCAAAACGCGGTAGTGGTTGTGTTAGCCACATTCGTTACGCTGCAACAACGATTTCGGATAAACGGTTAGTTTCAATAAATTAATAGACCATACATTGTCAGCAATTTTAGCCTATGATCTGGGTTGTATTTATGGAGCCTGTGAGGCCAAGAAATATGAATCTCAATGGTTCACTTCTACTTTCATTACCGCCTTTATCACTCTGTATAAATAACGGTACTTGTATAAAGATTTCGATTTGCTAAGTTTATGATAGACGTCTCATATATTTAGGACCCAAGAGTTTGCGTAAGTAAAGTAATTGCTCTGGAAGACGTTTAGCGGCACTGTACGGAAGTGATTTCGGGGGTTTTGACCAATGTTTAGCCAAAAGTAACGACGTTACTAAGTCGAACTCAATCACTGTGGTTGCAAAGGCTAAAATCAACCCCGCTCCTCTTTACCATATTCTAAAATTACCAGACAAAATAATCAAAATGCTCTCCGTATTGCGCAATGCATTAATTTTTTTCCTTGTAACAAGGAGTAATTGTTGCTTTTGAAAAGAGGAAACAAAACAATTTCTTTAACCTACTCCTGGTGCTGTATGTTTTTGTAATAAATAAACTGCTGTTGCAGTTTAGGGCAAATAAAAGTTTCTATCAGTTTAGGATGCATTTATAAATTTTGCTTTCCATATTAGAATTAAGTACGATAAATGGCAAGCAGTGATCTTTAAATACACCAATAAAATTTGGTTCCATTCACATTCGAAATAAGTATGTCTTCTCTGCTTCTTGTTACCTATAACACCAACCCTGTGCTCTATTAACTGAACTGGACTCCACATTGTTTCTCTTAAATACCAATGAAGCTTGCTGTGCATAAATTCTGCCTTGCGATTGAAACGGCATATTAAGTAACTGACCGCCTTCAAAATGTTAATAGGTTTGATCGTTTTATTTAACTGTAATGATTATGGAACTCCCCAATAATTATCATACGCAACCGCACACGCGCATCCATCTTTCAAATGGAAAAGTATAAGTCTTTCAGGACGTCTGTAATTTATTGATGTTTTACAAATGAGCGAAACACCTGTACATTTTGCTAGATGATTAATCTGAAAGGCGACTATAGCCCTGTTAGACAAGATAGAAGTCTTCTAGCAGAGCGTGGCGGAAGGGCATTGTTTCAGTGTGCAGACTTGGTCCTCGTAACTAAATAAGGTGCTTGGAATTAACTGTACGTCACTCGTACAATTATCCAGGTTACCTATTGGTTCATAAAGTGAGATGATTGTTTCTTAGTTGTTAGTATAAAATTAAGACCACGATCCAGCTATATTATTTATTTGAGATGTGTGTTTAAAAAAATAAAATAGGGCATTCTGCCATTTTCTAAATGTGTGTGAATTACCTCAAGCAATTTTAACCAAACCCAAATCCATTAATTTCCCCAAAGAGTTGTATAAAAGTTTCGTCCGCCTTCACTTTTTACCTATATACTTGCTTTAATTATTTCTTCCGTTCACGCACATGTATAACAAATTATGCCTAGAACCTAACTACCTATCACGCATTTACTTCTTATTGGTTATAAAGCCGCGAATGCAAGTAAATTGTCACGATTTAGCTTTTGGTATTCTAGTTGCTTTATGTGTTTACAGATCCAGCCATTTACATGCCGCCCGCTATAAAAGACATGGAAAATCTGGATTACTCAGTTGATCTATTTCTGTGCAGTAACAGAATCAGAGTAAATCTAGCGCTATGGAATAAGGTTTCAGAAGCTATAACTGGTTTTGTATGTTAAAAACTAATAAATACATTGTAGTTACATTTATACTGCAGGTAAAACTTATCTTTAGAAACAACATTATAAGGTTGTATCTACATAACTAACATTAGGTTACTGTCAACTAAGCAGACAAACAAAAGTGAACGGTCTTTATTGAGTTCATACAATCAAACGACCCATCGTTACAAAGGTAGGTGGTAAGACCAGGTCTAGTAAGCCAATTAGTTTGAGTTAACCCAATCATTTAGCTATTCTCCTGGCACAGGAATGCACAATGTCCGATTATCCAGAAACGCTTTGCCGTAAAATTAATGACAAACAGCGGCTAAACAACGTAGGTATAGCAAGCACGTATTTGAATGAAAGAAGAGTCGAAAAAATGTCAACAGAAGTGATTAGGTTGTAAAGCTAGTCGCTAAATGCAGGGGGCAAAATTCCCAAGCAAATTTGATTCCATAGCTGCAACTTGCCCCATGCTGATATTAAGGTTGCATATGTCAAGCTTCTGTGCCGCATTTGGGCTACACCAATTTAGTGCAAAAATAAAGCTACCTAATTTGTATAAAAAGTGTTCCACTTTATTTGATTTGCTCAGCTCTGTTATTCTTCTGCATCTTTTCATGTCATTTTTGGGTGTATATCTTCTTTCAAATGCTGTTGGTTTTTTGATGTCCTCAAGTTGGCAGCGCGCCTACCCGTTTAATGCGCTCCCCTTTGTGTACTGGCTAAAAAAACTGTGTGGTTGCTGAGAGGACGGGGTGCACGGGTTTCATAAGTTTGTTAAGCACAACAAGTAGTCCTATTTATTGTGAAGCGTACTGTAGACCAGTCCCCAAATTATGTACTTATGGTATGCATGATTCGCAGCTTAGGTTGGCAGGAATTCTGCTGCTGTGCATGTTGAAGGCGTGTTGGTTGGCCCGGTAAATGAAACATAGCTCCCATCTACATGTCACCCGATTTCCTTCTTTTAGACTGACATTAGAAATGGGGTGTGTGTCTGTGGATAGAGCCATAGGCAGTAAAGCGCAAGTCACCTATAATGCTTTTGTAAGTGTAGGCGTTCTGTGGACGCCGCAGTGACAGGCAACCTCGGAACCGGCTGTCGCTAAGGATTTGCAGTAAAGTATTCCAGCGGCCGGAGCTGACAAACGCGAGACACGCAACTGGGTAAGTTGCATGCGTCAGCCTAAAGAACTTTGAATTTAATTTCCTCTTTTAAGTGTTTTGTGGATTAGCTACATTGCGTTTGAAACCTTTGGGCCTGGCAGTGACACTGAGATAGGCAGTTGCTAGTAGTGCAAAGAATAAGAGCTAAAAACCTTGGAAGAAAGAAATTTAACAAAATGTGAGTGTATCACTGCGCGATAACGTCCTAAATCCAAAGCAACTGATTTCTGTGTTGCTGAATTAGCTCACGCACTAATTATCATGGTTGATTGGCCAGCACAGCATATCAAAAACGGCTAGTTACTAAGTGTCAACAACTAACAATGCCCAGATCACTGCTCAACATGGCTAAACCTGCAGTACAGCAACCTTGAACATCATGCTGCAAATTGTGTTTGCTTTCCTAGAATCCATTTTATTGGATCGGACAATTGAAAGTCACTCTGGGTTTGCTTACAGTTGCACTAAGCTTAACTGTGCCACCAATGTAGATGGCTAGTTTATATAGTCCCTGTAAATAAAATGCAAACAAGTTATTTACAACAATTAAACAAGCATTCTGTTTGCTCTATATTTCCCGACTGTTAGTTCAGAAATTATGGTTTTTCATAGGCATTGCGTAACACATCTACTTAAATTAGTTTAATAAAACTAGTGAAACCGGATACGTTTTACTTACAAAAAGTTGTTTTTTAAACATTTTTTTCCTATGATCAGCAACAACCGCACACGCTGCAAACCAACAGAAATCCATAGTCCATCTATCTTATTTCTTTTGGGTAACTTCATTTGCTCCGTTTAGTTATTGCTTTATCCTTCAAGACTACCTTGTTTTAATTTAGGCCTGCATATAGTAAACAGATTAAACAACACCGGTCAGTCTCAACTCAGCATGCCTGTCGAAAAGTGAATGTTAAGTACAAAATATTAACTTAACTTCTGAAGCTTTAAACGCATGAAATGAGGGAGTTGCATGCGAGAGAATTTACTTTTATAAGAACCGTTAGGCTGTATATCAGCAACTTTATATAAATGCGTTGAACATTCTTTAGATAATCCTTACTATAAATCATCATACACGTTAGCTAGATGTAAAAGACACCGCGGACGCTGCTCCGCAGCTGTATTAGGAGCGAAACGGATTAGGTTTTTGTTGGTTCACAACTACTAAAAACAACGCGGACAAAGTTGCAAGTAACCTAAGTGCTTTCCCTTGCTTTTCTTAATTTAAAGGCAAGCAGCTTTCTGAAAGTCATAGTTGTACAAAATCAGTTGCAGCCACACAATTAAACGCCCAGGTAGGCTCTCAACAGTGTCCATGTAAATGGAGTTGAGGGGTAGGTACACAGAGTAAGTTAACCGTTTTATCTAAAACTTATCCTACATTCTAACAGAGCATACATGTCATTCCAGGTTCAAAGCGACGTTGATAACATGACACGAATTCTTGTGTTATTGGTATCCTTGGTGCGAATAAAGCCGTGAGAATTTCAAGTAACGGAATAGTAGCGTGCTTTATACGCTCCAGCACCTTTAAGATAAACTAACGAGTTTGCCACAGGTGATGCAGCGTCAAACACATCGGGTACCTTAACGGTTTAATATCGCACAAACACCGTTACAAATTCACACTTTGTGGAATATAAGAGAAGCTTTCTCTTTTTTAAACAGGATTCGAAGTAACTAAGGTTAACCAAATGGCTTGCAAGTATTGTTTGCTTGACAAATCTTTAAATTCAATGAGCATAATCCGCCAGTTATGTGTAAAATATTTATATATTAAAACTTTGCAATTATTTTATCAAGACTATCCTATTCGTCTATAAAACATAAGGAAAACAAATACCGGATTATCGTTAAACTGCTATGTTTAAAGGCAATGTGGCACATGGTGTATATAACATCCGGTGCTAAGTTGTATAGCTAATTGTTTTCTTGACAAATGCAGTGACAAAGCCGTGCGTGGAATTGCATTGAAACTCATAACTTTGAGTATGTTTATAAAGTTTATCATAGTGTTCACCGAGATCGACTAAGAACGTTCCAGACAGTTGCTTAGAGATCATTGCCAAGTTTTACATTACACAACTTATTTCTATATTTCAACAATTAGTCCTAATACTAGCTATAATTTACTTTATAGCAAACACTATAGACTTCTAGCTGTGAACGACCCAAAGTGTAGCTAATTTCATTGTTTCTAATCTAAATTTACCTTGAATATACGCATGCACAAAAGTTGTAAAAACCGTCGTGCATGATTGTTTAGAACTAATGTTAGGGAAAAGTTTGTCTACCAGAATTGAGCTCGGCGTTTGATAAAAAGGTCAACAGAAAAACTTCGTGATTTAACAGGTGTTTGCGTTGAACAATTCAAATTTCTGACAACCGGTGTCAGTTTTAAAGGAAGGTATAGTAAGTGGTTTCGTCATTGTTCTCAACATGATCTATTAAACAAACCCGAAGTATTAACCTTGCGCGTGTTTATGGTTTGGTGGAATGGACTTAAGCATCCTAAAACGAACAAAGTGCTTAACGTAGGTTTTCGCTGGAATTTTGAACGCCATTTTTTACCAGCTTAACTGTGGTTTAGTTAGCTTCCTAACTTGGCTCCACTGTAACCGGTACAGTCATTTGAGAAAGTGGCTATTAAGTGGGATTAACGCAGCACATTTGCCAAATCTCTTAAAAAATCATCAGGGTTGCTATTATTTTTTATTAAAATTTACTTATTGAACTTTTGCCCATACACATGCAGACAGGTATTCTAACAAAACTACCAGTAAAATAGCAAAGGAAATGTTTAATAAAGAAATAAATAACGTTTTGATAGATGAGTAACAATACTTGTCCCGTGGTTTTTAGTTAAGCTTTGGTGTTTCTACTGTTTTGTTTTTTAAAGTGTATTTGACAAAACTTATAGATGCCCGACTGATTTATAGCAAAAGACCTAGATTACAAAAAATGTAACAAATTGTGGTCGGTATCAGATTGTTTGCAACCTAGACGATGGAGAGTACAACTAAACCTAGGTGCAAGAAGGCCCTCTTCTGGTTCCTTTTTACCTATTCCTTTGTTTGTAATGATACATATACCATCTGCACACAGAAAAAGTAAACAATACCTGGTGAATAACGAGGTTGGCTGGCCTACGCAATACTTAATTCATACAGCTCACAATGTGTTGGATACCAATATCCTATACACAGGAACTGTTTTTCTATCTCGTATTGTCTATTTATTTCATCTGCTACGTAAGAGTGATTTATCTTAAGCCCTGATAATCTATATCTTTAAACGATTATGGTATCATATTAGGGCGGTTAGCTGGGTTCGGTAAGCACATGTTAGCAAATCTTAACAGGATCAGGCTTGAGTTTAGAAGACATTAATAATTCATTTATTCATATACATATAGAAAAGTCATATTGTAAGAACAAATGACCAGCCACACTCAACTTTATCGGTGGAATTTGTTTGAGTTGGGTACTTGAGATACTTATGGAGCTATGTATGCTAAATTATATATATTGTAATGAGTCACATGAGAGTAAAGCCTTACGAAAGGTTACAAGTCGCCATAAGTCTGGCTTACAGTTTAGCTTTTGTTGTTCAACTGCGTCCTTCAGGTTAAGGACTTAAAGACAAGGCCATCTGCTAGCTGGATACTTTTGATTGCATCAGGCGGCATGGTTTCAATAGAAACTAAGAAATAATTATTTAAAAGCTTTTAGCTTGACGGAAAGAGGGAAAGACGCACAATAAACGTAGAAATTACTCCATTGTCAATGGATATCTCACTGCAACTTTGCGGTTCTTACGCAGTTGTGTTCCATGGATATTTTATAATTGATGTCTCTATAATACCCGATTACTATTACTGGTTATTTTTAATGGTACTGAAGTGACATAACATTCGTTCCTCTACCAGCCATCGTCCTCTTAGTACGCATTTTAGTTGTTACTATTATGAATAGGTATATGTTACAAATAGCCAACCAGTTTTGAAAGCACTACATCGTAACTTTAGCTTGTAATGTAGGAGTCTACGATTTATCCACTTCTAGTGTTACCATGGTATGCAGATTGAGTCAATAGTATCTTGGCTTCTATATCATTTTTAGAGTTTGTTAAGGATTATAAAGTTCTGGGGTTTGTGTGTCATAATTGGGCTGGAGAGCTAACAAATGTGGCTGGAAAACATTTCCCTCATATAGGTGAACATAATAGGTGTAAACACACTTTTGTTTAAAATTGCGATAGATGTTGTGGGCTTCAGCTTGTTTATGTAACCTTTGGTATACAGGATATTAATTTATCGCGAAAGCAATAGTGCATCTGATGACACTAACGAAACGGTCCCGGAAATTGTCTAATTGACTTCCACCACAACATATCAAAATTGCTTAAATTAATCAAGTAGACTACTACATCATAAAATGCAATTGAAATGTTTTTATTAATGTTACGAGCTAGTTTTTGCACTGGAAATAAAATGTGCCCCCTAAATGTCATAAATTTTAGGAACGTTGGTAGTAAACAACGTCTAACATTCTTGTACGAAAGCAGCGATTTCATGAGTTGGATAGCAAGGAATTACTCAAAGACCATTCGCAGTCTACAATAACTTTTTGCGCTACACCAGAACACGACTGGCACAACGAAAGTCTGAAACCAAACAGGTAAAAGCAGTTGATATCAGAACTAAGCGGATTTGAATATTGCCTTACAGATAGTAATTATAAGCTGCAAACATAAAGTCTAAATATGAGCTAACCATTGCACATTCGTAGAAAGGAAAACCCCACAGTTTAGTGTAAGTAAAAGCTATAAAGTTTTATAAACCAGGATGTTAAACAAGCTGACTGAAGGATTTTGTTCGTGCATGTAACTTACCATAAAAGAATGCCGTCCCTGCATTTTTGATAAATATCACCACCCTCTTCCTCAAATGGAAAGTATGCTGAGCAGCTAGGGTCATCCTTTAGGTTTCTCCAATCACACAGAAATGTAGGGAAATTTAACGCAGGCAAACCTTTCTATCCAGCTGGAGAATGCAACTTGTTCCTCCTCACTAACGCTGTGTATAGTGTCATCATTTACGCCAGCACAAGCCCCACCGTATTGATAAACAGTTTGTTTTGAAGCAACCTTTTCGATAGTACTGCGACGGGGATCATGTTTACAGACTTCTTGGTATATCTAACAGAATAATAAAAGATAATTAAAGCACACTCGTTTAAAGTCGTTAAGTGATATTTCGGAATCGGAGTTAAGCATATCAGCTGCTTTGAATGCCTCTGAAAGTTCCTCATCACTTATTTTACAGCCTAGATTCTGCAGGGCAGGCAAAATATCCTTCTTCTTTAGAGTTCCGGTATATCGAGGATCAAACTAAAAAAGCGTTAGATAAAAATACTCCATACTTTATAAAAAGTCTCTACTAGTTCGCTTAATTTTGCTGATGTACCGTAATGTTTCTGGTCCATGCGCAGTAATATATGCTCTAATCAAAATTGTGATATAACGTAAGCTAACCTTTGATAATTAAAACAAACAAGACACAGCATGACAACATAACTGGCGTCGCAAAGCACATGCCTTAAACTGTCTGCGTATCTCACTACCGTTGCACATGCCTTTGTTATAATTTAAACGGAACAATGAACTATTAGCACAATTTATAGACCTCGTCATTCACTTCTATGCTGTATGGCGTTGTGACGCCACGCTGGCTTACGGGTTGTCGTGTGAAATATCATTTTGTTGATTACGCCATTGGTCAAAGGTATCATAACAATGCATAAGGTATTAGGTCAGTCAGTAGGATCGAAAAATGCCCACACCTAACGAGCGCTAGTTTGGTGTACTAGTAAGCAAGCCAGTTACTTCATCCTAAGCTGGGTTGTCACATAATTTCACCTGATATCGGCGCAAGCACTAAATAATAAACTACCAAAGTTTTGACTCCAAATAAAATCTACTTGTTCTTTTAACAATTTTCCAGCTGAAATGGCTCTGGGAAGAAATGTCTATTTAATATGTCCTGTGCTTGCGCATTTGCCTGATCCCGCGCTTATAACTACGTCAAGTGCTATCGCACTACTACTGGTTACTGGAACGCAACTACACGAGTTGTAAGGGACGATTTTCCAGGATTTTACAATCAGACAAGTTAACAAACCTGTTACCTTGTATCTCGGGCATAAATACCGGTTGCACTATTCGTTGCGTATGTGTGCCGTCTATTCATTGCTAGCTTTTGATTGCCGTACCTACAGAGATAAAACTAAGTTCAAATTCCTAGTGTGTTTGTTTAAATAAACATATGTTAGAATGAAGCACAAATCCATGGGCTACAGCAAAAATTGCACCCATGTGAGGAATGCGATCCATGCCCGACGTCTATGGCGCATGCACGACGCCGGTGCACTTGAAGATCCACAACGTGGAGCAACCAAGCTCGATGGAAGGTTGGTTCATCTCCCTAACAGCGCATGCTGCAGTCCCTGAGGTTGTACAGTGGTGAACTGGCCAACTTCATCATGGTTTCTTCAGCCTGACGAACCCAATTCACCTTTGTTGCAAGCGGTTGCAGTTGGGTCAAAAAACCCCACAGAGACCATCACGTAGTGACAATGACATTTTACTCCATCAAGCATCACCATCCAGACTTGTACACAATTTGTTTTACTTTGCACTCATCCAAGCCTATATATACCGGACTGAATTTTTAAACTTGGTCCGCCATCTTGCCCGCGTGTTCCCGGCTGTTTCGCTCCGTCGTGTTGTAACTCATTGCTTCACCACTTTCTCCAACTGCCCTCAGGCTATATTTACATAGCTATTGTACAGTGCTATTTTCTCAAGACATTCTTTATATCCTGCCGTCTTCTGTCTTACTGGGCTCCGGATTTCTTGTGTAGCATTCCTCAAAGCGCTACATAATTGGTGACCCCGAAGTGACCTCCAATCGCATTCTGGTGCGTTCGTTCCATTTCTTTGGTTTTTCCACACAAGCCATGGCCTCAGTTTCTAAAGGTGTGAAGATTCACAGTCTGTGCAATCGGTATCTCTTGTAGTTCCACCCTTTATTGAAAATGATCCCGTCTTGTGGTTCATGATTTTAGGAGCTGAATTTACTTCTAAGCATGTTACTAGGGATTCTGAAAAGTTTAATCACTTGCTAACACGCCTGCCAACTGATATTACTATGGCACTATGTGCTCTTATTATTACATCTCGTTCTCCTGACCGTTAAAATTTTCTCAAGGACGCTGTAATAAAGCGTGTTACTCCCTCAGAGAAGTCCCGGCTGCATAAACTTTTTACTGGTCTGCAGCTACATTCTAGTAAGCCATCCGCGCTGTTGCTAGAGCTGCGTAGTCTCCTTCAAAGATCGCATATGGGCTAGTCGCTGCTTCGAGCGGTATGGCTTCAGCGTTCGCCTGAAAACGCGCAAGCTATGCTATCGCTTGCCAAATTGCAGCCTTTGTCAGAAATTGCAGGTATTGCTGATGACATGATGGATCGTTTTACCGGACCACCGTGTCCGTCGTCTAGTTCCGTTCGCTCACCTGACCTAGGTTTAACTGCTGACCCACCGGTCCAAACCATCGACACCGCCACTCCACCTTCGACTGGCGAGCTCTTAGCAGAGACAGCCGCGCTACGGCAAGAAGTTCAAAGCTTAAAGTTACCTCGGCACCAACGGGATTCTCCATCTTGTTCCCTTAGCCCATCTCGAAGACGAATACGACGCCCAATTTGCCGTTATCACGCACGTTTTGGAAGGTCCGCTAGAAATTGTATAAAACCATGTTCATTTCCCGTAACGGGAAAAGGACAGGCCAACACGTAGTGGCGACGAACGTCGTCGGCCGAAGTCGTCCAAATCGCCTCTTCAAAATCGTTGATAGGAACACCAGGATCATGTTCCTGGTTGATACCGGGGCGGAAGTTAGCGTGATCCCACCGGTTCCAGGCTACGCGACTACGCCACAGACAACCAACTTGCGTGCCGCTAACAGCCCTTCTATCCGAGTTTTCGGTCAACTCTCCCTTACCATTGACCTCGGACTACGGCGTCCCTATTGACGGAGTTTCATCATCGCTGCTGCTACGTTTGCTATATCGGGTATCGACTTTCTTCAACACTCCGATCTTCTCGTCGATACGCGTCATCGCAAACTCGTCGACAAAAAGACCCAGTTTTTCACATGTGGAGTTCACACATATTTTCTGTCACTCCCATTTACATTTAGCCCGAAGCTGATAAGGAATTTTTAGATCTGTTCAGACAATTTCCGCAGCTGGTCCACTCAGCTGACGCTACGCTTCCGGTGGCATCTAGCGTTACGCAACATATACGAACCCCTGGCCCACCGGTTTCTGCACGGCCACGACGTCTCGCCCCTGATAAGCTAAAAGCCGCTAAGGCGGTATTCGAGCACATGCTCGAACTTGGTATCATCCGTCCTTCCGGAAGTCAGTGGGCCTCACCTCTCCACATGGTGCCCAAGAAAGGCGGCGACTGGCGGCCCTGCGGAGACTACCGGGCCCTGAATAAGTGCACAGTTGCAGTTAGGTATCCTATACCGCACATCCAGGACCTTGCAAGTAGTCTCCGTGGTAAGTCAGTGTTTAGTAAGATATACCGACGCGAGCATACCACCAGATTCCTGTAGAGGGCTTCGATATCCCCAAAACTGCAGTTATAACGCCCTTTGGTTTATTCGAATTCCTTCGAATGCCTTTTGGGTTAAGAAACGCTGCTCAAACATTCCAGCGGTTCATCCATGACGTTACTCGTGGTCTGGACTTCGCATATCCTTACATGGATGATATCCTAGTGGCTAGCGCCTCTAAGTCGCAACACTTAGAGCATCTGCGTATTCTATTCCAACGCCTATCTGATCGAGCCGTTACCTTGAACAGTAGCAACTGCGAAGTAGGAAAATCGTCGCTCGAGTTCCTGGGTACAGCATCTCAGCTACAGGTATTGAACCACTGTCTCAAAAGGTAACTGCCATCAAAGATTTCCCTGAACCTGCGTCGTTTAAACAGCTTAAACGTTTCCTTGGGATAGTCAACCACTCTCGACGCTCTGTTCCTTGTTGTGCTAGGATAATGCAGCGCTTGACTGACTTGCTTCGGGGCAATCAACGTGCGTTTGTTTTTACCAAGTCCGCGCGATTAGCCTGCTCAAACCTTAAAGAAGCAATCGCTAATGCTGCTCTCTTAGCACATCCAGTACCACCTGCTCCAATTTCTCTCGTCACTGATGACCCAGACGAGGCCGTTGGTTCTGTTCTTCAGCAGGCTGTCAACAATACATGGCAACCTTTGGGATTTTTAGAAAAAGTTGCAGCCAGCGGAGACACGTTACAGCACATTCAGGAAAGAACTTCTGGCAGTTTACCTCGCCATCCGTCATTTTCGTCCTTTTCTAGTGGACAGAAGCTTTACCGTCTTCACTGACCACAAACCTTTAGTTTACGCCCTCGACTCGTCATCCGACAGATACTCTCCGAGAGAGATACTCCACCTGTACTATGTCTCACAGTTCAAGTCAGACATACGGCACGTCTCGGGTGTGCAGAACTCCGTCGCTGATGCTCTTTCTCGCGTCAGCTCCATCACGTCCGCTGAAGGTATCGATCTAGCGGCAATGGCTGCTGCTCAACAGACCGACTCGGAGCTGGATCAGCTTCGTAACTCTAGCCCCTTACGCATACGACCAGTTCCACTGCCTACTTCGGATGGAACCATACTTTGCGACGTTTCACAAAATTCACCACGACCAGTGGTTCCTCAAGTTTTCCGACACACTGTGTTCTACATTCTTCACAGTTTATCTCATCCAGGCATTCGTGCCACAGTCAAGCTCGTCACACAACGGTTCGTGTGGCGCAATGTCAACCGGGACGTTAGACAGTGGGCTCGTACATGCCTTAGTTGCCAACAGTCTAAGGTTCATCGACACACGAAATGTTTGCTTGGTTCATTTCCACGTCCTGACGCCCGTTTTCACCATCTTCATGTTGACCTTGTTGGGCCACTGCCTCCATCTAAAGGCTGCGTTTACTTGCTGACTTGTATAGACCGCTTTACAAGGTAGCCTGATGCCATCCCAATGGCAGGTTGCTTATCAGACACTGTCGCTCGCGCTTTTCTAGAGCGCTGGGCCTCATACTTTGCTTGTTCTGCCGTTGTGACAACTGATCGAGGTTCGCACTTCGCAGGCACATTTGCTCACCTTCTTCAGACTCTCGGCTGCAGTCACGTCCGAACGACTGCATTCCACCCTGCCGCCAACGGCATGGTTGAGCGTTTTCGTCGCCAGCTGAAAGCTGCACTATGCGCACATGATAACGCAGAATGGTACGAAGCGCTTCCCACCGTTTTACTTGGCTTACGAAATACTGTCAAAACCACGGGTTAGAAACATGCAATCGATTAGTTAAGTTACGTTCAGCTTCCTCGCATTGTTTCAAATGGGATCATCCAAAGCGTACAATTTTCTCCCAGCAAC